GCATTCAGTGTGTTTGCTGAACGAATGAGGTTTTAATTGTCCCCTGTGAATGGGTTGGGAGCAGGTGTTCCTAAGTTGAAGTGCAGGCAACAGGAGGGAATGAGCCACAGAAGGGGCTGTGACTCCCCCTGAGATATGGTGTAAAAAGCGCATGGGGGGAAGTTTGTAGGGCAGTGGGGACATGGAAGGGGGGCAGTGTGCAGGGGGGGTGCACACGTGTAGCGTGCGTATGTACGGTGTATGGGTCTGTCTGTTTAGGGCCCAGGGCTTTCATCAGTTTTTCAAAGGTCTGTGACCCCAGCAGTTCAAGGATTACAGGAGTGGACTCAACAAAGCAAAGGGCAGTGATTGGAGGAGGCTCCTTTCCTCTCTGAAAGGTCAAAGTTGCTTTGCAAAGTTGTTATATTGTTTAGCTTACCAGGAATTGAAGGAGGAACACACCATACCTACTGAGGCAAACCAGACACACATGCTCCCAGTACATCTGTCTTTCTGCAACACAGTATACTGGGTATCAGCCAGCCAAGCTCCAGGGGTTGACCAGAGCATCCCCGTGCCCCCATCTCTCCCAATGCATTACAAGTTGGGAGAAGTAAGAATCTATTGAATTCCCAAGCACATACAGGGCAATTCAACTCCTCAACTGTCTGCTGACAGCCAGTATGTCTCCCTCTTCCAAGCTGGGCCCACGAGTACCCACCCCCATCAGGACTCCCACATCCTGGCCCCAGTCTGGCTATTACTATATACTCGACTGTCTCCTCTGCTAAAAATCAGTAAGTCTACTTTGTACATGTCTAGAAAATAAAGTTGAATCCTAGGCAGATGAAAATGGATAATTTCTTAGAAGGAAACAGTTCACCAAAACTGACTCTAGTAGAGATATAAAGTATAAATGGACCAATTTCTACAAACAGCAGAGAAGGCCATCAAGAAGCACCACCACCAAAATGTACCAGGGCCAGATGAATTATCAGAAGAATCTTATCGTACCTTTAGAAACCAGAGAGCTCCAGTGAGACATATACTGTTCCCAAGCATAGAAAAGGAAGAAAACCTAAACCTGATAGCATACAAAAAAGAGCATTGCAAATGTCACCAATGAATCCTGCTAGGAAAAAAAAAAAAAAAAAACTTAAGAAAAATGTGATCAAACAGATGCCACCACCACTCGGACATAATACATAGTGACCAAGCAGGGTTCATCCCAGGAAGGTTTCAATAGCAAGAAATCTATTAGTAAAGCCAACCTAGTAACAGGTGTTAAGAAAGAGACAATGTTATTTTTACTCAGATAGTAAAAAGTCTTTGATAAAATCCAACTTCCATTTATAATAAAAAACTCTCAAGGATGGCTGGGCACGGTGGCTCATGTCTTATTCCCAGCACTCTGGGAGGCGGAGGTGGGTGGACTGAGCTCACAAGTTTGAGATTAGCCTGAGCAAGTGCAAGAACCTGTCTACTAAAAATAGAAAAACTAGCCTGGCATTGTGGTGGGTGCCTGTAGTCCTAGCTACTTAGGAGGCTAAGGCAAGAAGATTGCTTGAGCCCAAGAGTTTACGGTTACTGTGAGCTGTGATACCATGGCACTCTACCCAGGGTAACAGAGTAAGACTCTGTCTTAAAAAAAAAATTAAAAACCTCCCAAGGAAACAGGAATGATAGGACGCTTGTTTAACATAATACATACACCTCAACCTAAGGCCAGTACTGAAGTGCTCTTGCTGCCAGGTTAAAGAACAAGGCAAGGATGCCTGGCACGTCCATATGATGTAACCTGCTACTAAAGGACTAGTTGAGGCCATTAGACAAGAGAAAACAGCAGAGGCACAGTTAGAGACACCAGCTCAGCTCTGTGAGGGCAGCAGCTGGACCCTGGTTCCCATTGTTTCCCCAGAATCTAACACAATAGTCACTCCATGGCAGGCAAGTAAATAAACAATGGCTCACGGTCCTTGAACACCTCTATTAACAAAAGCAATGTTTAATAAAATGCCAGTAGCGAATCACACCCTGGGTTAGTTGACTTAAGTGGGTTAACCCATTCAAAGTGGACAATAATCTTATAAGGTAAGTATAATTTCAGGCATTTTACTGATAAGCAAACAGAAGCCCAGAGAGGGGGGCTCAATATCACCCTGTCCCTAAACGTTTTAAATTCCAGCTCTGCTGTGGTGCCGGGCCCCTTACTAACTGCTAGGCATGTGTCTCCCATGAAAGGAAGGAGAGAAGAACCCTCGCAGGGAAGTTCAGAACCCAGGCTCTGCAGCAGAGTCACCAGTGTCACCTCTGTCACTACCAGCTCTGCTTTCCTGGGGAAACAGTTCCTCTCTGTGCCGCAGTGTCTTCCTCTGTCAAATGTGGTAACAGTGCCTACCCGCTCGGGCCGGAGGGGTAGTGCAAGGTAATATTAAACATCAGCTACATGCTAAAGCTCAAAGAAGATGAGCACCCAACTTCCCCAGACCTCTACCAATTCTAGCAACGGTGTCTATCCCACTAGCCGCCCTTTTCCTTCCTTAGCTTCTGCCACGCTCATGCCCACAGTTAAAGGTAACACTTTACACACACATCACCAGTATGCCGTCACCTGGGGCAAAGCCTGATAACGAGATAAGGGCTAGTGTTGGCCCTTGGGGAGTTCCATCATGCGCACGCAGAGAGGTGACTGCTATTAACATTTGGTTAAGCCAGAGCCAGACTCCACTGGGGACAGCTCACGTTTGCCTCTCAAAAGCTCATCATGTCCCTGCTCTTCCTGGGTGCTAACTCTTCTGTGCTGCCTGCTTATCAGCGGAGAGTCACTATTTTAGAGCATAGCTCTCTACTCCGTAAGTGTGGGCTTCACACAGTAATTCCTTGCAAACAGCCTAGCTTGGGAGGACGTCACTGCACCGTGGAGAAATGACCAGTGCTACCTCCGCCAGGTGGTCAAGGCTAACCTCCTCCGTGATAAACCGTGTTGACAGTATGTGCCCTTGAAGTGACGAGAAGCGCCCTGTACCTCAGTGCTTCTCCTTTTGAAAACCCATAGCGCTGTTCTAATCATGAGAAAACGAGCAGAAAAATCCCTTCAGAGGGACAGTCTGCAATAATCTACAACCAGTGTTCCTCAAAACTGTCCAGATCATAAAGAACGAAGACATTCTGAATCTGAATGAAGAATAAACTTGAGTTAACAATGTGTCAATATCGCTTCATAAATTGTAACAAATGCACCTTACTCCTGTAAGGCGTTAATAACGAGGAAAGAGAGTAGTAAGCCTGGGGGAACTTTGTGGTGCTATCTTTGCAATTCTTCTGTAATGCTGAAGCTGTTCCAAAAAATAAAGTTTATTTAAAAAAAAAAAAAGATTCCAGGCCTTTCTCTGTGGTCATTTAGATACCCATCTGGTGGCCACCTAGCATCGTTTGCCAAGAAAAACTATGAAAAGTACCTCCCTTCAGATTTGGCCTGGAAACTATTTCCCCGGAAATCCCCCCACCCAACACACAGGCAAATTAAAAAAATAAAAAATACAAGTTCGCTGATTGCAAATCTGGGAGGGGTGTAAGTATTAGTTCCCTGCAAAACATGACTTCAATCTTAATGAACAGAAAGACCTCTGATGTGAGGGTGGATCGTTTGCAGATTCTTAATTGTGTATCTTTTCAAAACAAAGCCTGTCCCCCAGATTGCAACTCCAGGAGACTGGTCTCTTTTGCTTGCTGATTATTTCCATATCCAGCCAAAACCCCGAAGTACCAATCACCACATCCAGGTGTCCAAGCAAAGGTGATACCCACACTCAAATCCCTCACCTCACGTGGCCAGTGAGGACACTGAGGAAGGGGAAGTGAAAACTTCTCCACTCATCTGCCTAACGCAGCCTGTGGGAACCAGTGAGTAGCCGGGACAGGCTGCCTACATGAGCCAGTGAACACAAGCCCTTCCTACGCACCAGATGCAGGCAAGCCCAGAGCGGGTCTGGAAGTTACCAGCAGTCTTGCCCTGAGCCTTCAACAAGCATTGGCTGGGCTGGGCTGTCAAAATCAGGAAGCCTGGTTGGGGTTTTTGTTTTTTCCAAGACAACCTGCTAACCAGAAAAATACAGTGAGGTTGGGCATATGCCCTCCTCCTCCTTCTGACGAATGCTCCTGTTCAACGCATGAAATGACAGATGTGATCTCCGCCCAGCCTGGGGAAGTCCCCAGCCCCCTCCCCCAGCTGAAGGCACAGGCTGACAGAGTTTGGGGAGAAATCATTTGTAGCCTCCTAAATCCACACGCCAGCTCCCTCACCTCTACTCCTCCTCCTGGAAATCCATTACAACCGAGGGGCAGAAGATCACTTAATAAAGCTCAGACTGACCCCCTCGGGGAGAGTCACAAACGCAGCAGCAGAACCCAGAGAGGAAATGGGCCGGCCTCATAATACCAAAGTCAAACCACCCTCCAGCATCAGACACAACCTCTTCCTTAGTTTCATAAACGAAGTCTCCAACAACTGCTGCTCACACGAGGTGGTGGGGACAGTGCTGTCTCACTCGGATGCCTGGAGGGAAGGGGCAGCCTCCAGCCTTGACAATTCCATGCACTGGCCACCCCTTTTGCATGGGCCCCTCTCTACTAATTCATCCTTCTGCTCCCTCACCTCCTTCCTCCAAAGGCAAATAAATCACTTCCATTGCCCTCTAGCAACTCAGCCCCAGGGCAGGGGCCAGCAGACCCCTCCCTGCAGCCAGAGGCTCGGGTTTTGCTGTGCTAGCAGAAGCCTTCTGCGGGAGTTACAAGTAACTGGAAACTGACTCGCCTGCAGGGCAGGAGTGAGCCGACCGCCCCCTAAGGGTGGCAGTGGTCACTGACGCCACCTCCCCTCCCTCTCACCTGAGGAGGGGCACCCTCCCCTCCAGGCCCCCGAGGGAATGGGCATCAGGAGCCTGGAGGAGCTCTGTGCCCACACCCCAGGCTCCAGCCCCTGCCCGGGCTCGGGGGCCAGGCCGGGGGGAGCCTGCACCGACCTTCGATAGGATTCAAATAAGAGTCATAGTCGAAGAGGATGGAGAAGTCGAACTCGTCTTGGGGGCTACCCCCTGGCTCATGGCCTGGGGCGTCCCCACCGTCGGGGTCCGGCTGCTGCTCCGGGGCGTCCATGGCGCACCAGGCGGTGGGAGGACTGTGGGGCCAGGGACGAGGGCAGGCGCGACTTTCTCCGTGGCCCCTCGCCAAGGAAGGCGAAGACAGGCAGCACGCCGGGCGGGGAGGCAGCTGAAGTGGCGAGGTCACTTCCCTCGTGGGGACGCACGCCGGGTCCGGGGACGGCGCGCTTGACGCAGCGGGTCCTGGACGCGCCCAGGGAGCCGAGAAGCGGCGGCGCGAGCTTCCTGCTCTGGAGGCACCTGTTGCAGCCAGAGGAGGGGGTGGCGGGGTGGTGGGGAGGCGGGGACAGGGCGGCCAGGCCAGCGGGGGCGGGGCCGCCACCAGGCCCGGGGGGAGGGGCGCGGGCTGGCTGGCGCCCGGGAGGAAGGAGGCCGCCCGCCCGCCCGCCCTGGCCGGGCACCACGCTCAGCAATGGGCTGGGCCACCGCCGGGCGCTCGCTGCCTCGCACCCTTCCCGGTGTGAGCATGATGTGCCCTGCCGAACCTAGGATCTAGACAAGAAAGCTGCTGCCACTAGGGCACCCACTGATCCCACATTTTTCCCCTCGCTTTTCTTCTCCAAGGGCGTTGGGAGTCACCCACTCCCTTCTACTGCTGACCTGTGTCCGCAGGATGCCCATGTGCCCAAGCTGTGTGTGATACTTTCCCCGGCACTTCAGACACCTGCATGCCCCCCAACCCAATCCCCCAGGGCCTGGGAAGGAATGGCAGACACTGAGAGCAGCAGTCCCACCTGTACAGCTACACTTCTTGGCCACCTGCCACGCGCCAGGTGCTGGGCACCCAGCCTGGACCAAACACAGTTGCCGCAGGAAGCTCGGGCTCCGGCGGCGGGTAAGGGGGTAGGTGGAAAGGAGATGAACACAAAACCTGCATCTCCTTAGGGTGGGAGAGAACTCCAGGGGAATGGGATAAATCGAGGCTGGGAGGCAGGGGTCAGGGAAGCAACCTGATTGCTGGGAAGATCTGGGGGAAGTGTGGTCTGGATGTGAAAACCGAAAGAAAGAGCCAGAGCCCAAAGGGGCTGTGTTGGAGGAAGAGTGAGTTCAGTGCTGATTGAGAGGCTGGCAGGTAACAGACACATATGATCCCCAGGCCCCTCTCTGGAGCTCCTGATTCCTTAAGTCTTGAGTAAAGGCTCAGAAAAGTGTTTTTTTATTAATTTGTTTAATTATTATATTGAGACAGGGTCTCCCTGGGTTGCCTGTGCTACATGATACAATCATAGGTCACTGCAACCACAAAGTCCTGGGCTCAAGCAATCCTCCTGGCTCAGCCTCCCAAGTAGCTGGGACTACCGGAATGGGTGTTCCCATTCCTCCACCCCATGATGATCACATGCCTTTCATTTAGTGAATGTGCCTATGCAGAACCATTCTCCCTTCTTCTCATAACTGCACCCCGGTGTGTTCCTTTGGAAAATGACCCTAACCATAATCACGGCAGCACTATCCACCCAGTTGCCCCATCCTCCCCTGGCAAAGAAGTCGATAAATGACCTACCTGGGCCAATCAGAGAATTTTATCTCCACTAGCCTGTAAGATTTACTAAGCTTTATGTAAAAGGGATGTGTAGATAAACGGATGATGGATGAGGTAGATGGATGGATGGAAGGATGATTGTGTGGATAGATGAATCAATTGATCCTGGAAGAGTGGATGTTTGTGTGGATAGACGGATGGAAGAGTGAATGCCTGGATGGATGAACTGCTTGGTTGACAGAAGAGTAGATGTTTGCATGGATGGATGGATAGATGAAAGAGCAAATGCATCAATGGAAGAACAGATGTCTGTATGGATGGACAGATGGATGGATGAATTGCTTGAATGATGGAAGAGTAGAAGTTTGCATGGATGGATGGGTAAATGGAAGGGCATATTTGCATAGATGAATGGATCAATTAATCAACAGAAGAGTAGGTATCTGCAGGGATGGATGGGCAGATGGAGTTTGACTCTCCTTGTATGAAAAAGATCCTCAGATTTCTCTTTAAGAGTTTACCTCCCTGAGGTTTATCCTGGCCACCAAATCGCTAGAGCAAGAAGCTAAATTCTTATTGCCAACTGTACATCCTCTTGAGATGGCCAGTAATAAAATGAAATAAAAAAGAGAAGATCACTTTACAGCTATAAAACCTTCAGCCTTAGGGAGGACAGTTCAGGACATTCCAAATAAGCTGCCTAAGTATCTTAGTGGTCCTTCTGAACACTGGGTGTATTTTCAAAGCTTCGATGATTTAAAGTCTGCACCAAAGCAGATGGAGTTCTTTAAAGGGAAGGGGTTCAGATTAGGCCCCAATGCACAAAGAGTTTCTGCTGAACAGTGGGGTATAAGAGAGTTTTCTCCCCCAAGGGCCACCTCAATGGGTGGGGGTTGGGGTTAAGGAAAAGACATATTTTCAATCCCCAAAATAAATAATTTATGTTTGTAGTAGCAAGAGCAGAGTGCATGACCTTTATGCATCTACTTGGAGGCCTTGCCAGGGCAGGTCTGTCAACCTTCTCGCTGACCTGGGGGTGCCCTGGCTTTTGAGTTTTTTCCAGATCTCTCTAACCAAAATATAATAGGAAGCTGGTGAAGTCACTGAGAGTTTGAGACTTCTAGCACACACTGGTACTGCTTGACATTGGCCCAAGAACTGAGCTCACCTGGACAAGCATTTACCCCAAAGTTTAATTACGAATGGAGATACCTGGATGAAAGGAAAGGAAGATGTGTCACAGATTTCATAAGGAAATTGGGATGTAGACAGGGAATTTGGGGAAGGCTTCCCCAGGTTTGGGTTGAATGTGGAGTAGAAGTTAGCTGGGGAACAGTGAGAGGAAGAACTAACAGATGGAGAAGGGCGTGCAAAGGCCCTGAGGCAGAAGGAAGAATGAAGTGTTGGAGGACCTGAAAGAAGACTGGAATGGCAGCTGCTCAGGATGAGAGGATGGGGTAAGATAAGGCCCAGGTGCTAAGTGGGGGGCTGAGTTAAGAGTTTCGGGGCTGAGGGCAATAGAGAATGACCAAAGTGTCTTAGGCAGTGCATGACACAATTATATTTGAGTTTTTAAACAACCGCTCTGGGTTCTGTGTGGAGAAGAAACAACAGGTGGGCAAGGCTTAAAGCAGGAAGTTCAACTGGAAGTTTAGCCATCCAAGCAAAGATAATGGGGGCTTGCACCACCGTGGCGGCAACAGAGGCAGGGAAACATGGAAGGACAAAAGACAGAGACTCATCCTTTGCTCCATCCGTGAGTTCTCTCTCTTCTGGTTCTAGGCTACCTGTTTAAATGGAGAGTAACTTGATTCTACCTGAACTCCTGAGCTCCCCCCAGCACCCTAGGATACTGAGCCCCCAGCCTCCTTCAAGGAGCCCATGGAGGTATGCACCACCCATAGCTCTCCTCTCTTCTCCTCTCCACTTTCTGGTGTAAAACTCATGTTTGTCTACACCCTGGGACTCTCCCCAGAAATCTGAGTTCATCCATCCAATTGCCCACGCGACATCTCCATTTGGGATCTAACAGGTGTCTCAAATGAACACGTTCAAAACCAAACCCTACGTCCTCTGAAGCTTCCCTTCCCCCGTCCCCCGGTTCATGTATTACACACTCGCTAATCCCGTTCTTCCTTCAAATACCGAGTGGTCCTGAAGTCCTCTCCTGTCCTCATACCCACATGCCAACCCTCAGCAAATGTGAGCAGCCCCATCTTCAAAATGCCACACAAACCCAACCACGTCTCACCAACTCCTCTGTTCTTCTCCCCCCCACCACCACTAACCCAACCCCTGTCATCTCTGGCTGGATGATTGCAGGAGCCCCTCTCTGTACCTGCTGCTCACTTTTGCTCCTACACGGAGCAGCCAGAAGGATCCTTTAAGAATATACATCAGCCAGTTGTGGTGTATGTCCACCATGGAACACTATGCAGCCATAAAAAGATGGAGATGTCACATCTTTTATGTTTACCTAGATGGAGCCGGAACATATTCCTCTTAGTAAAGTTTCTCAAGAATGGAAAACAACGTATCCATGTATTCAATATATAATCACCTACACATTCATACAAATGGTAAAACATAACTATAGTCCAGAAAGTAGGGAGGAAGAGGAGGGAAAGGGGAGGGGAATGGGGAGGCAGGAAGAGGGAGGGTTTGGGGGGGCCTCCCCTAATGTGCATGATGCAATGGTACATCTCAAACCTTTTATAAAAAGGGAGTATAACAACAAATAAGTCAGCAAGGTGATGGCTGTGTTAATCAGTTCGATGTAAGCATTTCACATTGTGTATCAAATCAGAACACGGTACCCCATAAATGCATCAATGTACACAGTTATGATTTAATAAGGAAAAATAAATAAATAAAATTCCAAAATAATAATTAAGAAAAGAATGTACATCAGCAGCCTCCCGTTACTCTTAGAATTGGATACAAAGCCCTTGGTCCACAAGGCCCTCTGCAGGCTTATAAGCTGCCTCCCAGCCGCTCTCTTTGGTCCTGGTCTCTGGCCATTCTTGCCTCTATTCCCTCTGCCACCTGTTCCTTAAAAATTCCCAGCATCACCGCACCCCAGGGTCTTTGCTCCTACTGTCCCTCTGAGATTGCCTGGCCACTGCCTCACCCTGTTCATTTTTCAGCTCAAATGTCACCTCCTACTGATCCCATTTTAAAAATGGCATTCCCGGGCATCTCTGTACCCCGTGTTCTTCACAGCCCTGCTCACTATGGTGTATTTTATTCACATGCATATGTGTTTATCTGTTTCTTGCCCGTTCCTCTCACTTGAATGTATGCCCCACAAGGGCATGGTTTGTGTAGCTAGGATTGTCAGGATTAGCAAACAAAAACACAGGACACCCAGTTGAATTTGAATTTTAGACAATGAACACTTGCTCTTTTAAAATAGTCCCCGGCTCCTATAGGCAAAAGAATAAATGGAAGAACGGTGCCGACAGACCTTCCGCCTGAGATCAGTCAGTTCATGAAAATGCTTCAGAAGAAACCAAGTAACTCTAAAATCGATCTCTAAAAAACTCTTTAAAAGCTTTAAGAGAGAGTGACAGACAGAGACAGAGACACAGAGAGACAGAGAGGAAAGAAAAATGACTATTCTCTGTAAAGAAAAAATGTTCCTGGGGTCATTGTAACAAGACTTGTAGATGTAAATCCCTCCCACCCCTTCCAGGCTGACCTTCCTGAGGGTTAATGGCATCCACAGGCATGAAGACATAT